GTCGAGTCAATTCTGACCCGAAGCAACTCTACTGGACAGAGTAGAACTGCTCCATAGAGTTTCCGAGGAGCGACTGGTGGATTCGAACTGTCCACCTCTTGGTTAGCAGCCATAGCTCTTAACCACTGCGCCACCAGGGCTCCAGTTCCATGATACGGGGTTATAAAGTCAACCAAGGCAAAGCAGCCAGCCTGCTTGTTAGTCAGACGCACTAAACACCTCTGATTACCCGGCTGCTGCGGAAGCACTGCTTCTCGACAGGATTCAGTGACTACCGCGTAGCCTCACATCCTCCACGCGTACTGAGAACGATCTTCTCCGTACCTGATGATGACGCACTGGTTCTCTCTGTCAATGATCATGTTTCTGTACATATTATCTGCAAGGGCATAGATATGTGGTGGGTTTTCATACTGTGCCTACAAAAGCAAAAAACACAAACAAAACATGGTCAGATAAAGCAACACACTCAATTTCTTTTCTTGGCCTTGGAAATGAATCCACCACTATGTAAGTCCAATGCCTATAATTATATCTTAAAAAAAAAAACCAAACCCGTTGCCGTCGAGTCCATCTGGACTCATAGTGACCCTAGAGGACAGAGTAGAACTGCCCCATAGGGTTTCCAAGGAGCGCCTCGTGGATTAGAACTGCTGACCTTTTGGTTAGCAGCTGAGCTCTTAACCACTGCACCACCAGGGCTCCAGTTACATTTTAAAGGTTGCATAACCCAGGAATTCAGAAAATTGTCTAGGTCATGAAGAGATACATCTAAATAAATTAAGATGGAATCTGGAAGAACTCTCCCAAAGGCATACGAATGATTCAGCCTTCAGACATGACCCATGCCTTCAGCTGCTCCGACACCACACCCTTCCACCCAAACACGCCTCTGCAGATGACATTCCATTTCTAAATCTTTCTGAAGATACTCAGACAGCAACAGGTCTTCAGAGAGGACTACCAAAAACCTGGATCAGACATCCATCTGAATTCTCAATGCTCATGTAATTTTCCAAGAGGCAAGTTGCAGATTCTAGGATCCTGGAGGAAACTAAGTGAGGTTATCTCCGAGGAAGCTGAAAAACTTAAAATTTCCATAAGGAAAGAGCAAGAGGTGTGGCTCTTTAGAGGCCTGAACTAGTTTGGCCAGTCTGTTTCACCTCCACGGGGAGAAAACCAAATCCTACTAGACCATGATATTCTGCTGGGTTTGTGCTTTAGTCTCATGGAATATCTTACGCATAAATATAAAACCAAATAAACCTCCATAACTAATAAATTCACTGTCTGAAGCCGACTTCAGTCCTGCTATATGCAATTTATTGCCACCCACCTCCATCACATCCTCAAAAGTTGTGAAAAAGAAAAATACTTGGTGTAGTGGATAGCTGGAGAAAGAACACCCCTTAAACTCAGGCTATCTAACACAAAACTGTGAAAAGAACACCAGATCTCGAGTGAAAAGAACACCAGATCTCGAGTGAGAAGACACTGAGACTCTGCCTCTCCCTCACTGGTGCCCATCTCTGAAGTGGGATAATAATGCCCAGGCTGCAAGCCTCACAAGGTAACTGAGATAATGGAAAAGGGAGGGTTACATGGAAAAGCAAAGCACAGAGCCTTATCAGCAATAGACTTACTATAGAAAAAAGGGCCCAGAAACTGCTACTCAGTGCTAAGCTCTGGAAGATGAGAGTTAATGATGGGGGCCAGGGGAGTGGCTTTGACGGCTGAACCCACGGTGAGCATTGCCTGCTGTTACCCCATGGGGGGACACGGAGGTTCACAGGGAAACTGCCCAATAAAGGCCAGCGACTATTCCTGGGACAGGAATAGACTGAAGAACTCTACTTGTACATATTATCTGCAAGAACTCTACTTACGGTTCCATGATAACATTTCTCCTTGCCTTTCCCCTAGGGTCAGACGGAGATGTCTGGGTGGGCCCACATGACAGCATCTTGGGAGGACTTCTAGCCCAGGTGGCTTGTGCAAGACTATTTTTAATGCCTCTTTGAAAACAGGGAAGTGAGTATCATAAGAAAGAAAAGCAGACCTGGAAGGGGGTGAAGCAGAGGGAAAGCTGTGGGCAGTGGAGAGACAAGTGTGGGCAGGTCACTGCCCAGTAAGGCTTCAAAGGTGCTTAGCTAAGTGATGCTCGACCTCGCACATCACTGTTTCTCAAGTTGGTTTCCCACCTGTGGTCTCACTGAACCTCTGAGCTACCTCTCAGATTTATAGAGTAGGCATTTCCTGTAATTCCACTCTACCCCGAGACCTCGGAAAGTCAAACCCTAGCTCTACCACTTGCTGTACTTGACCTCTCCGAGCCTCAGTTCCCTCATTTGTGAAGTGGGGATAGTAAGCAAGCCAGCTCCCTGGGCTGTTTTGTCATTGTTGCAGATGTAACTAATATAGCACCAAAACCCAAAAAAACCAAACCCGTTGCCATGGAGTCGATTCCGACTCACAGCGACCCTACAGGACGGAGTAGAACTGCCCCACAGGGTTTCCAAGGAGCTGCTGGTGGATTCGAACCGCCACCCTTTTGGTTAGAAGCCAAACGCTTAACCACGTGGAACCACCAGCACCAGGTACTCAGTAAGTAAATAGCA